CCTGCGAGCGGAGCGAATCATTTTGGATAAGAGCAAATTAAGATCACACCTTAGTTTTTCACTTGGAAGACAAATTGATGGACCCCTGTGGTGATGGCACAGCAATTTTGACCTCTCTGTTGACAATTCTATATGCCGTTTCCTATAAGAGGCTACAGCCACTTGAAGCATTTCGACAATTAAACTTGATTTAGCCTTCAACTTGAAATACAAGTGCGAAGCCAGGGAGAATGATAGAGTTGACAACAACATGAGCATGACTGGAATGCCAAAACCAACTTGCCATCCCAAGCTTTCTTGTGCGTAGACAATGCAAGTATAAGCAATTAAAACAGAAATTGTGGATAACGCATAGTACCAGCTGAAATAGGACTCCAGAACCCGTCCATTGTTGTGGCCACCTGCTTTTTGTAACTGATCAGCACCAAAAGCTAAGGATGAAGACGTAATTCCTCCAAATCCAATAGACGTGAGTCCAAAACAAGAACACAAGAGAAAGAGTTGAAAACTTGTCGCAGAGCTACAATTTTTATTCGATTCATGACATGGAGGCGGCTTTGCTTGTGGAATCATACTTGTTAGCCACAAAAGAGCCATTCCCTTCAATCAAAGTAGAAACTTATTCTTAGATGATACCATTAAAATTAGAAATAATATAGTAAATTTGAAGAACTAAAAATGCACCCCTCTGTATTACTGGTCAGTAGTGTAATTTTTTCTTGCAGCAGCACGACTTCTTCCGTGCATCAACAAGTGAAGCCTTGAAGAAAGATGCAGAGAATTTAAATTTCTTTAAGTTTTAGTAGTGTGATGTGCAACAAATTATCTTCTAAAAGTCAGGGGTTCTTTTTCAGTTTTCTTCACTGCACATGAAATATCAATGGGGCAGGATTTGTAACTGAAAACTAAAATATAAAGCTGCTGTGTGCGTGAAGAAACTAATGGCCTGCATTTTCGGATGACATCATGCCATATATGATTGGAATCCTCTCAAAAAAAAGAAGAAGAAGATGATTATGGAGTTCCATTCCAAAAGTTCAGAAAGAGCTAATATAAAATGAGAGTTGCTGGAAACAGAATTAGACAAGAAAGTCTAAAACATGCCTTTTCTGCAATTTGTTTCACCAGTGAACATGTTGGTTCTTAATTGAAATGATCAATTATGGTTCTAAACACAGGGTCAGAACAGATAAAATTTTGTCACTGCATGAAGATAAAAAGTGAGAAATGATGTATTTTTCCGACAAAAAAAAGCATCTGACTGCGGCAGGAAAATGACTTACACCACTCTTAAGCAACAATGATGTAATTTTAAAGTGCACCCCAACTCCTCCTCCTCACAAGATCATTAAGCATTTTTAAATGTTCTTTGATCCATCCTGGCCGCCAGATTGTAAATCAAAGAGAAAAGCCAGGGATACTCTATAAAATTCGTCCACTTTCACAGTACAATCTGAAGTTGAAAATGACGTGATGGATGAAAATGCAAGAAATCGGAACAAACAACTTCTTGTGCTATGAAAAATTAAACATAATTAAAATAAATATTATCTACTGAAAACACTAAAGTGTGTAAATGGGGTATTTACCAGAAGACTAATAACACAACCAAATAAGATCATCCGAAATCGACCCAGAAATGAATCTGCAACTATAGCACCAAGAAGGGGCATGAAATTTGTTGCCGCTGACCAAAGAAAGATTATGTTAGACCCAGTAGCCATGTTCAAATGATACTCTCTCGTCAAGTACAGAATCATGCTAGGCTGTAGCCCATAGCTTGCCACCTGCGCAAAAGCCTCATTTGCTGCCCCCGGAAAACAACCATTAAAACACAGAACGGTCAATTCTTAATAGAAAATTTCACTAAAACTTTTCCTCAATAAACTTCAATTAAACAAAGACACGTAGAATGAGAATCAGATATAGCCAGTTTAATAAGGGTCGTTTGTTTCTTGTTTTCAAAGTGAGGTTTCAGTCCTCACCGTCCCTCTTTCCACCCCTCCCCTTCTTCAAATTCAAAGGAAAAGGAGTTACCTAAAATGAATGGCATGGTTCTGAAGCCACCCTTTGCTGAAAAACAGTCATGATCATCGTTAAGTAAAGGCTTTGTAGTCATACTTTCTTGTTCATCATCAGCAGAATTCTCCGTCATGCATGTAGGGACTTCTACTTCTTCTACTGCAATAATATGTGTCGAGTATTTTGATCTTGATTCTCGTCCAACAACCATACTGAGCACACTGGAAAACAATTACTAATATTTTATATGAACAATTTCATACTAAGCATACGACCTAAGCCACTGATGTAGGCTACAAGATAATCCACCTTCTTCCGCTAGATTTTGCAGCTCCATAGCATTAGACAGAGGAGAAAGAACAATGAGTGGACTTGCATTAAAATCTCAAGTACTTGATTTTTTAAGGTTCGAAAGGTTAAACTCCAATGGGCTGGGGGAGTAAGATTGAATTACTGAATCCCAGCTACATGCCCTCTTTAATGTACGGTGTGGTCTTTTTGTTGCACATGACGGATTAGGTGGAGATGGATTTGACTTGCAATTGAATGGATGAAATTGATGGTTGGACACAATTTCTAGGGATTGCAAATTTATTGTCTTTTTGCTTGTTATTGCGTTGGTGTTCTTCTGTGTTGTGTTAATTTACATTGTACTGTACAATTATACTTATTGTGCGAGTATTTATATTGTATACTAGAGGTATCTCGGCTGTGCGAGGCACAGCCTTCGCCCCCTTCATAACTTAATTAAACATATAACAGCAAAACTTTTTGGTACAAAATAGACAAAAACACGAGAAAAATTGAGCATCAGAAGAAATTCCATCTATGAAGTTAGCTCTTCTAAATCAAGGAGACAATAAACATAGCATCTATTAAATCCATAACTGATCTTGAAGTTAATGAAGGCAAGCAATGAAACAGGTGCACAGTTGAATACAATTGGGAAGGAAGAAATCTGATTTTTCTGTGCAACTTTTAGAAACAGATTTATAAAGAAATAGAAAAAGAGACTTTAATTGATTACATAAAAGAGCTGTTTAAATGTAATAATTGGTTAGCTACTAATCAAACATAATTAATCAATATCCAAGGATTAAAAGTTTTTCATTAATCTATAAAGCTTGATTCTATAGTCGTAAATTAGACAATATATAAAAACAATACAAGTTCTTGTAGTTATGCAAAATGACTTGCAATTGAAATCTTTTGTTTTATCCTGTATGGTACATCTTTTGTCTTGATCCATCAAGATAGAAGTAGGGAGATAAAAAATGGGAGAAAAATCATAAATATCTCGAAGGAGAGTTATGTCATGTGTCAAGAAATGGGAGTGCTACATTAAATTCCCATGTCTTCTTATATAATATGTAGACAATTAGAACAGAATGAAAATTGATCCAAGGGTTGTAATGTAGTATTAGTATATTAAAACTAATCTAATGGTGATGAATTAGACAGTACACTCACTTAATCAAATAATTAAGGTTAAAAAAATTCATTGGGCTCAGAAGGAGAATAAAGGAGCCAGACTTGCTCGGTTTGGCATGAAGAAAGAGCAGAAAAAAAAAAGCGATATGCAAGAGGCAAGAAAAATCACGTGCAAGAAAAATATTAGAGTTATGCAACTTGTCAAATTATTAGGAAGCCAAGTGGCAACAAGGAAGGCAAAGAACTAAACCTCCCTTTTTTCTTATATACAAGGTAGAAATCACTGAGCTTGGTGGCCACCAAGTGGGACTTAAGTCCATCTTTGGGCTGTAGGTGAGGGTTCAAATACCATCTGCAGTGAAAAAAATCCAAGGATGGTGTCAGTGCACTCCTTTGGTCTAGTAAGGTTTGTGTACCTGCTAGTCCCCAATACAAGCCTCTAACATTTAGCTATAATAGGTTATACAACAATTATCGTCTTGCCCCTAATATTTAGCTATAATAGGTTATACAACAATTATCGTCTTGCCCCTAATATTTAGCTATAATAGGTTATACAACAGTTATCGTCTTGTAAAAAAAAAGAGTATTTATATTGTACATATAATTAGAATTAGTGATCATAGAAGCCCCTAATACTAAGCTATAAACAAATTACATTGTAGTGTTTTTCGATGGAGGACGCATTTGGATTTGAAATTCAAATCTCTTATCCAAACAAGTGAAGAAATTTGTATATCTAATAATTAGTTTTGACCAATGATAGTATTTCAAATAAGACTTTAGATCTCATTAATTATATGTTTAACACAATTCAAATAAGCACGTAGAGTTTTTGTTTGTCAAGATTCAAATAGGTCAAGGACGTAGTTGCTCAGGTAACAAAATTTCCCTTCATATCTCTTCATTTCTCCAATAATTTACTGCTCTGTTTGGATTCAAGAGTTTTTCAAAAATTAATTTTTTAAATACTATTAAAATTTTTAAAAAGTAAGCTAAAAGATACTCTAAAAAGTAATTTAAATTTTTTAATATTTAAAAAATATCCCAAAATATTTTCTAAAAACTCTTCTACTCTTAAATATTCCAAAATATTTTCTAAAAACTCTTCTACTCTTAAATATCCCAAAATATACTATAAAAACTTTGTTGTAGTCAAAAACACCTCCAAAACAACTAATCCAAACGGAGCCATACATCTTTCTTAATACAGTGAGTAGTGTACAGCTACACCGCCGCCCCCGCTGCCGGTACCAGCGTCTCCTGTGACCTGAACCGATGCCACCATTTGGCGTTGCCGGCAAGATTGGCTCTAGAAAGAGAAAATGACTCGTTCATTTTATCATGTCATTTGAGCACTCCGAACTTGTTTAGAAGTTTGTGTAATGCCTTGATCGAGAGGAGTGATTGTGTCACGAACTCAAGGTTGTTTTTGGAATTTTATTGATTGAACTTGGATGAACAGGTAAAGTTCAGAAGAATTGGAGAAGAAGCAGGGGATTGAAGATAGAGAGAAGAGAAAGAAAGACGATTCAGAAGAGAGGGAATGGAACCAATGAACGTATATTTCTGTTATTCTTCAATCATGTGGGCCCCGCTTATATAACCAATCCTAACAACTTGTGTCAAATGGTTAACAACCGAATTACCTAACTAATGGACTCATTAAATGAAACGACATCGTTTGCTAGTGCTTAAGTAAGCCCAAAACAACATCGTTTTTACTAATCTATTGAATTAATAGCCTAATGCTCAGATTGAGCCTTTATTATGCTTAAGTCCCTACAATTTGCAGCCTGACAATCCCTTCCTCTTAAAAATAGACTTGTCCTCAAGTCTGGAATGCAGGAAATTGTCGTTCAATGAAAGACCTGTCCTCCCAAGAAGCTTCCTCAGGCTCCAGTTGATTCTATTTAATCAGGAACTGAATGACAGGTTGTCCATTCCTCAAAATGACTCTTCTGCGCAGGATTGCCTCTGGCTGTAATGGACATTGATCCTGTGTGTCGAATTCTGGTAGCTTAGTAGAACCCCCTTGCACCAGTCCAAGTTTCTTCTTAAGTAGTGAAACATGAAACACAGGGTGTAGTCTAGTGCCTGCTGGCAACTTCAGTTTATAGGCCACTGAACCAACTTTCTCCTCTACCTGGAAAGGTCCATAGTATTTGGCAGACAGCTTGAGGCACTTTCTTACTGCCACTGTTTGTTGCCTATATGGTTGAAGCTTCAGAAAGACCCAATCCCCTACTAAAAATTCCCTCTCACTCCTGTGTTGATCAGCAAAGTATTTCATCATTTGTTGAGCCTTGGCTAGGTTGTCCTTTATGCAATTGGAGATCCTGTTTCTTTCCTGTAGTAAATTGGAGGCTGCAGGCACGACAGAATCCAAATAAGGCCCTAATGGTATAGGCATTGGTTTATATCCAAACAGTGCTTCAAATGGTGTCATATTGAGGCTGGAGTGGTAGGTAGAATTGTACCACCATTCAGCCATAGTTAGCCATTTGCTCCACTGGGATGGCATTTTCCCTGTCATGCATCTCAAATAGTTCTCCACACACTGGTTGAGCCTTTCACTCTGGCCATCAGACTGGGGGTGGTAAGAGGATGTATAGTGTAATTCTGTCCCCATTACCTTAAATAGTTCCTTCCAGAAATCACTGGTGAAGATTTTGTCTCTGTCAGTGATGATGGATTCAGGTAATCCATGCATCCGGTATATGTTGTCCAGAAAGGCTAGTGCAACCTCCTTGACAGTGAAAGGATGAGTGAGCTTAATAAAGTGACCAAACTTAATGAATCTATCAATCACCACTAGTATGGTATCATAACCCTGTGACTTAGGTAGTTTCTCAATGAAATCCATGGCAATGTGGGTCCATGCCTGGGTGGGAACTGGAATTGGTTGCAGCAGACCAGGGTAAAGCACATTCTCAGATTTGTTTCTTTGGCATGTATCACAGCTTCGTATGAAGGTTATTACCTCCTGTTTCATTCCTGGCCAATAAAACAATGATTTAACCTTCTGCCAGCAGCTTTTCTGTCCAGAATGTCCCCCTATTGCTGAAGCATGAAACACTTCGATAATTTGATTTCTGATGTTATTGGCACTCCCCACATACAGTTTTCCTTGATACCTCAGCATTCCATCCACCATAGCATAATCAGTGTGAGTATTGGGATCCAGTATTAGCTGAGCTATAATGTCTTGGCAGTGACCATCCCTTTCATAGCTTTTCTGCAATTCTTCCATCCAGACAGGTTTTACTGCAGTAATAGCCAAGCATGAGTGGAGGAAAGGGTCTGCAACAGCTTCATGTCTTCTAGATAAGGCAACTGCAACCTGATTTTTAGTCCATTTTTTGTACTGTATCTCATAGTCCAAGCCTATTAGTTTTGTCATCCACTTATGCTGGAGAGCAGTATTCAGTTTTTGATCCAGTAAATACTTCAATGATTAGTGATCTCTCCTGATAATGAAGTGACTCCCAACCAAATAATGCCTCCATTTCGTGACTGTCATTACTAGTGCAAGAAGTTTCTTTTCATAAACTGATAGTCCAAAGTTCTTGGTTGATAGTGCTCTGCTCAAAAAAGCAATGGGGTGCCCTTCCTGCATCAAGACTGCCCCCCAATACCTCCCCCACTGGCGTCTGTTTCAACCACAAATGCCTTTTTAAAATCTGGTAAACTAAGGACTAGGGCTGAACACATCAGCCTTTTCAAGTGTTCAAAGGCTGCCTGTGCCTGTGAATTCCATTTGAAGCTGTCTTTTCTGAGTAGTTCAGTCAAGGGCTTGCACACCAATCCAAAATGCTTTACAAACCTTCTGCAGTTGCCAGTTAGACCCAGGAACCCCCTTAACTCCTTAACAGTTTGTGGTACAGGCCATTGCAAGATGCTATTAACCTTGGAGTCATCCATTTTAACTCCCTTGTCAGTGATGGTATGTCCCAAGTAGTCTATTCTTTTCTGAGCAAATTCACATTTGGATTTCTTCACATATAGTTGGTTATCCTTCAATAGATTTAGAACAATTCTCAAGTGCTGGAGGTGGTCCTCTAGTGTGGGGCTATATATTAGTATGTCATCAAAGAAAACTAGGACAAACTTTCTCAGATAAGGCTGGAATACTTGGTTCATCAATGATTGGAAGGTTGCAGGGGCATTTGTGAGGCCAAATGGCATAACCAGGAACTCAAAATGTCCACAATGCGTCTGGAAAGCTGTCTTGTAGGTGTCCTGAGGTTTGACTTTGATCTGATGGTAACCTGCAGTCAAATCTAGCTTGGTTTTGAACACAGCTCCTGCCAATTCATCCAGCAATTCATCTACATTGGGTATTGGAAATTTGTCCTTGATAGTGAGTTCATTCAGCTTCCTATAGTCCACACAGAACCTCCAAGTTCCTTCTTTCTTCTTGACCAGTAACACAGGAGAGGCAAAGGGACTGTTACTGTGTTTTACAATGCCTTTCTGCAGCATTTCAGTCACCTGCCTCTTTATTTCCTCTTTGTGGCAGTGAGGATACCTGTAAGGTTTGAGTTTGAATGGTTGAGCGTTTGGTTTAAGGGGTATCTCATGGTCTACACTTCTGCTAGGGGGTAATGAACTGGGAGTCTGGAATATATCTTCATACTCCTGCAGTAGCTCCTGTACTTCCTGTGGGGTGGACTCCAGTTTGCTTCCCTCCTGCTGTTGAGAAGTCATGGCCATGCACATCTGCTTTTTGTATTCAATGAATGTCCTCAAGTCCTTGCCCCTGATCAGGTCCATGTCACAATTGTCTGCTTGCCCGTGTAGGTGAATCTCCCCTCCTTCATGATGCAATGATATCTTGAGCTGCTGAAAGTCAAATGTGATGGGACTGAAGTGTGTCATCCAGTCCACTCCTAGTATTATATCCCACCCTCCTAGTTCCATCACTTTGAGGTTGAATTTGAAATTGTGTTGGTTAATGCTCCACTGTACACCAAGACAGACAGCATTGCTGGTAACAGAAGTCCCATTTCCCATGATGACAGAGAAAGGTTGATCCATCCACTGGTACTTGACATCCATTCCAATAACCAGTTCACTGCTGATATAGCTGTCAGAACTTCCAGTATCTACTAAGATGAGCACCTCTTCTCCATCTAAGACTCCTGTGAGTGTGATTGTCTTCCTCTTTAAGGCCTCCGATAATGCATGCAAGGACATTTCCATGGTTTGACCAGGATTCCCAGTATGTTCGTCCTGTTCTCCCAGAGCATCTTCAAATGCAGTTTCCTCCTCTTCTTCTAACATCATGCAGTTCGTATGGCCAACCTTGCACTGATGGCCAACCCCATATTTCTCTCCACATTTGAAACACAGTCCATTGTTCCTCCTATACTGCATTTCCTGTGCAGAAAGCCTCCTAGGATCCTTAGTGCCTTCTTGCCAATTGGCCAATTTAGGATGTTTGGGGTTGCTGTGGAGTGGAATCCTATATGAGTTAACCCCCAATGCTGTAGTAGTGTTTCTTGACAATCCAAGCCTGTTTTCTCCTAGTGGCTTGACATTCTCTTTAGAACTCTTATTCTGCAATTTCAATGAATACTCTTGCCACTGAGACAGTTCAAATGCTTCAGCCAGGGTAGCAGGTTTCAACATCTTGATCATAGGTTTGATCTCTTCCTTCAGTCCACTTATGAAACTAGAAATGAAATAGGTCTCATCCATATTTCGATTCGTCATCATCATCAATGCCTTTAACTCCTCAAATTTCTCCTGATATTCTTCAACATTACCTATCTGCTGTAGCTTATTGAATTCTTCCACTATATCTCGACAAGTCCTATCATTAAACCTGCGACATAGCAGATCCACAAATTCTTCCCAACTTAGCATAGGTTTCTCAATTTTTACTCCCTGGAACCATTTATCAGCCCTGCCTTCCAAATACATTTCAATTACATCCACTTTATGTTCTTCTGGAACTTAATAGTTCAAAAAATATTTGTTGCATTTACGTAACCATTCCCTAGGATTTTCTCCAGCAAACATCTGTAAATCAATCTTAGGAGGATTTGGAATTTGAAACTTACTCCAATCCTTCCTGAAGGATCTCTGAGCCTCGCAGTCTATGGTTAACCTCTGATGAGCTGGTGGAGTTGGTAGAATTGGCGGCTGGTCGATCATTCTGCCACTCCCCTCGGTTGCTTGCTCCTTGCCAGAATTCATCTTTAGTAGCAGATCACTGAATTTTTGCTCAAGCATCCGAGTGAAGTTCTGCTCCATTCCTGATAACAGGCCTTCCATCCGCCTGTTGTTTTCTTCAAGCTCCATCTTCAAGTCTTTCTTGATTTGCTGGTGTTCAGATTTGGAAGTATGTAGGGATTCTACCAATTCTTGTAGCTTGATTTCTTGTTTCCTGACTTGCTCTTCGATGGTGCGGAATCTTGTGCTTTCTGCCATGATTGTGTTGTAAATTCCAAGGATCTACTGCTCTGATGCCACTTTGTCACGAACTCAAGGTTGTTTTTGGAATTTTATTGATTGAACTTGGATGAACAGGTAGAGTTCAGAAGAATTGGAGAAGAAGCAGGGGATTGAAGATAGAGAGAAAAGAAAGAAAGAAGATTCAGAAGAGAGAGAATGGAACCAATGAACGTATATTTCTGTTATTCTTCAATCATGTGGGCCCCGCTTATATAACCAATCCTAACAACTTGTGTCAGATGGTTAACAACCGAATTACCTAACTAATGGACTCATTAAATGAAACGACATCGTTTGCTAGTGCTTAAGTAAACCCAAAACAACATCGTTTTTACTAATCTATTGAATTAACAGCCTAATGCTCAGATTGAGCCTTTATTATGCTTAAGTCCCTACAATTTGCAGCCTGACAGATTGTAGGAAACTGGTTGTGGTGGAAGGCAGCAGATAAGGTTGGGAAAGAAGATTCCTGACATGAGTGCTGGTGACTTTTTTTTGTTTGGATATGAAATTATTTGAAATAATTACTATGACACATTTATAATATGATATATATGAGATAGAAAGATGATTGGAAAGATAAAAAAATATATTGAAATCTGCATTCGAAAAGTAAGCAAATTATTTTTTTTTCAAATCACTCATATCCAAACAAACTTTTCAAATCACTATTTGTATGTATAAGCAAAAGTTTCTGGATTTGATAATATTTAGAATTTTATGGGTTGTTGTTCTTTATCTTTACAGATTTGAGTTTTTGGACTTTTGTATTAATTTTCCTTTTTAATCATTATTTGAATTGTGGTTTTTGTATAATTTTTTGGACATTTATTGTAGAAGGAATGAAAAGGAAAATGAGAGAAAAAACTAATAACTTTTATTAAGATGAGTAACATGGCTCCATAGAAACCATAAGGTCTATATGTGGGCTCATGAACCAATTCATCAAAGTATTTGTACTTTACATTTGGGTCAACGCAATAAGTAACTTGCCAAATTTATCTTTAGACGTGGGACATATAACGGGTCCATAACTCATTCCGGCCAAAATTGGCTTGAAAAGGTGTTGAACGACACAAAACAAGCACATTTTATATGCTAGGGATTAAAATCGCCGATTTTTATTTTGAAGGATTAAATTTTTACAACAGTGGTATGTGAGGGACGATCAATTTAATTTTTCCTTCTTCTTTTGAATTCAAATTCACTGGCACCCAATGCTCACATTACAAATAAATAAATAAGTACAATCATGAATCACTCCACAATTAACTAGTGGATGCTGGGTATTGGATTATGAGAAAGTGGGCCAATGAAGGTGGTACCAAGAGATGGTACAGATAGGGAACGGGTTTCAATTATTTTTGGGATCATAATTTAATAGCAGAGATTATTAGAGATCATTCAGCAACATAATTTTCATGTCACGGCCAAACACAAACACACGACCTTACGTAGCCAACATGTGGTGCCATAGGAAACATCTACTAAAAATATCCAGACTTGACGTTTTCAGAAACTTGTTATTGGGATCTCGTGCAAAACGTGAGGTTGTCGTGCAAAACGTGGAGGATGTCCTGTGGGGTCTCGTGCAAAACGTGAGGTTGTCCTGTGGTACAAAAATGTTTGCACTATGATCAGATGAAAGAACCACTGGGCTAGTGGCTCAGTGGCCATCAGGGAGGGACTTAAGTCTCTCCTTGGGCTGTTGATGAGGGTTCAAACCTCACCAGCAGCGAAAAAAAATTTAAAAGTTGTGTCATAGTACTTTCTTGATTTAGTTGGGTCTGTATACCCACTAGCTCCTACAAAAAAAAAAAAATAATCAGATGAAATAATCTAGGTGGAAGTTCTTTTTTTTTTCCTAAAGGAAACTTACTCTATGGGAATCGACTTTAAGAAAGATATCCCACTGTGATCAATAAATCTTGTAATAATGTACCACGGATGCTAAAACGCCCTGTATTACTATTGAACAATTGGAGGAAAAGGTCATAGTCGAAGACGAAGGCAACTAGGAAAAGTGACTTTTTTTTGTATTTGTATTTGTGTGTGTGTCTATACATACAAATATATATATATATATATATATATATATATATATATATATATATATATATATTTGTAAATAAGAGGTGTTGAATACAGGGCTTTCTACTTATAATATTTTTCACCTTGCCATCCAATCCAACCCTCCCCGACAAAAAAGAAGCGGTTATGAAAGTGGAGAAGATGGTTAGTTGTTGACCTAAGTTTTTCTACAATTGAATTAAGGGTTAATTACAATTTATCCCTTGAAATTATACTTTGACTCTTACTTTACTCTCTAATTTTTATTTTTTGTCACTTAAGCTCATGGGAGACAAAAATACCCTTCTACTATATAGGTATATTTTCCTCTCTTTTATTTTTTTTAGTCAAAATTAGTTTTTTCAAATTTTTATTTTTGAGCAAATAAAAAATTTTGCTAACAAAAAAAATTAAAGATATTCATTTTCTAATTTGTAATTATGAAGAAACTACATAGAATTTTTTTTTACATAATTAGTTAATTATAAATCAATATCATTTATTCTTCTATTTTACAAAAAATTTTGTATTCTATTTTCTTTTAATTGGACAATTCAAAGTCGCCATTGTTTTACAATCACACTTTTTTTTTTGTCAAACGACAATGTATAATCACACATTCACATGTTAGTTATCTGGACATTTTTTGTTCTTTTTTCTCTAATGGATATATTGCTTATTGCATTATTTTTTTGGGATAATTTTCAAAACCTTCCTTGAGGTTTCTGATAATTTCACTCGAATCCCCCCAATTTTAGAAAATTATATTGACCTCCCTCAATTCAATAAAATGACTACAATGCCCTCTATTTAATAGATAACTTACCACACATGTGGGACACAAAAACCAAACCAAAAGTAAAAGAAAAAATAAAAACCTGCAACAACTCGTTATCATCCCCAACCCTACTTTAATTAACAGTAGTTCCTTTTCTCTCTCCCTCCTTTTTTTTCTACCTCTTATGATTCTCTCCTTCCTGCCTATAACTCCATAGTTTTTTGCACCCATCAACTACACCACCATGCAAACCTACCCGAAGTTTTTATTTCATGTCTACTTCTCTCTTTCTGTGATAGTTAACTATCAGCCCCTCTTATTTATTTCTTCTCGTATTATAATTTGTATACATTAAAGAATCAAAATTTCCAAAATTACAAATTGAGGAAGCAAATGAAAATTTCATGGTCAAATTAGATGGAGATGATGAATGTGGTTGTGATAGAGAGGAAAAATGAAATTAATGGGCTATTGTCGAAAGAGAAAAAGGGACGAATTTGGGTTATGCTATTATGTCTGTTACAAACTAGAATCAAATATCTTCATTTGGTTTCATTTTTGTTTGATTTACAAGTATTGGTGATGGTTTGTCACAAAGATTAGTTTCTCTATTCCTAACGCCATTGGACTATGAGGTTACTCTTGGCATAGGCATCAATAGTGGTTGGCCAAGTTCTTTTCTGTTCAAGGAAGGTGACAGGCAATAAGTAGTAAGTTCATAATTTGAGGTGTTAGATTAGTCAATAGACAAAATATAGTGTTGATTTGGGGTAGGAAGCTTTTTGAGGGTATTTTAGTTGGTAGTGGTGGTTATAATCGATTTGTAGAGAAAGTGATTTGGGTAGAGTTTGAGATTTTGATAATGCCGAAATTGATAGAATTTGGAGCTTAAGTTGGAGTGCAATTTTGGTAAATTTTGGGGTTTTAGTGATGCCAAATTGATAGAATTTGGGGATTAAGTTGGAGTTTGCTTGAACAGGTTGATAAGGTTTTGGGTTTACAATTATCGTGGAACATAGCAAGTTTGGATGCAAGTGTTTGTTAACTTTTTTTTTTTTTTGGGTTAAATTGATCACTAAACCTTTTTTCACTTTCTTTTGATGTATGATGTTGCATAAGGGCATTTTATGATACTTAAGTATAATTCTAACATGATGGGTCTATACTGTTACTTAAACAGTAAAAGTAAGAGAGGTTAGTGTGATTTTCTAAATTTGGGGGAGTTGAGTGAAATTGTCAAAAACCTCAAGGGGGGTTTCTGAAATTATCCCTATTTTTTTCTTTGCCTTTATAAAGATAATCCATTGTTGGTGTATTCCCTAATATACATACTCCTCTCATAGGAAACTTTATCACTATCAATGATAGTAATTAAAATTGAACCACATGTTAAAATTAAATAAAGGAAGGAAATAAAAATTTTAATATTAAGAACTTGGCATAATAGAGAGGTGTTTTTATCTCTCAAGGGGTTAAGTGACAAAAAAGAAGTTAGGAAAAGCAGGGATATACCTCAGAGAGATAAATTAAAAATAACCCTTGAATTAAATCAATGCTGAGCAAAATCATAAAGCAGATCGAGATGCTGATTTCAAACAAGGAAAGTCTAAGTCAGGTCTCAATCGACTATTGATGGAAATAGGCCATAGTAGTAGCAAGATTGTCAAATGGCAGTACATGCATGGTCCCTTTGATCATTTAAAAGACAGCTATATTAGTAGTTTGCTTATAGGGACATTCCACCAAACGCACTAACCCGTCAAACTGAAAACTACTACAACTTGAACGGTTTAGAATTCAAGCGTTGTGCAAAGCAGTCCTTTGGTCTAGTAAGATCTGTGTATCTGTTAGTCTCAAATACAGTCTCTTTAGGCTCCCCCTCCCCTGTAGTATAGGATAGATAGGTAATACAATAGTTGTTGTCTGCGAAAAAAAAAAGAAAAAAAAACGTTAAGTTTGAGTTCAAATTTTCGGTTTTTTTTTTATTTTCATTTCTTAAATTTCATCTTTCTTTTGATAAAGAAAAAATATTCAGAGAACTACTACAATCTGAAAACTTAAGGATTCTAACAACTTATGCATAATTTAGACTAGTTACTAGTACAAATTCTCTTGGTAAAAGAGTCGAACAATTGCTAAATTGCTAACTGGACTCGGAACTAGACCTGAAGCCTTTGTGATCTTTCAAATTTATGTGCATCAGCTTACACTAGATGTTTTGGACATGTAAATAGAAAGAATCAAAACATCGAATACACAGAAAATTTAGAAATCTGCACTCCAGACAAGTGTTTACTAGAAAACAAGTTAGGGAAGTTTAGAAGGAGAGGTCACTTTTAATTGTTAGCAATATCTACACATCAATTGTGAAAATGACCAAAACATCTATAGTATATTTCTATGCCTTTGTGCGTATTTCTGTACTCACACGCGAAAATGACCAAAAGATATATAGTCTATTTCTATGCCCTTGTCTGTATTTCTGTACTCACACAAGAAGAAAACCATTTGGTTGTCAAGAGTGAAAGAGTAGAAGAAATATAAATAGAAGGTACCTTTTGGCTCCAAAAACAAAGAGTTTATTTTTTTCTTTTTTGTTTATGAAATATTCTTAATCA